ACTAAATCATAAATCAATCCGAGTACTAACAAATCCTAGAATCCAAAATAAATTAGTCTAGAAACATGCTTTCAAAATAAATATAAAACATTGAGTTCGAAAGAAGAAAAGAAAAAGAAAGAAAAAGCTTATTCGGCTCCGTCGATCCCTCCTTCCCAAGCTTTCTCCCTCGTCTTGCTCGTGTTTCTAGCCTCCAAAGCTCTTCAAAGATCTGAAAATTAGGTTCTAGCCTCCTCAAAAACGTGTCCAAGTGTTCCTTAAATAGTTGGGGTCGAGTCCTAGTCGAAATAGGTCGAAAATACCGAAAAAATAGGAAAAACGCGTAAAACCCATATTGGTCGCGCCCAGACTCACACGACTCGTGTCATGGGACACACGAGTCGTGTGACAAAGTCGAGAGCTCGATTCACGACCCGTCAAAATGACACGAGTCGTGTCCGAATCCACACGACCCGTGTGGACCTGGGAAGGCTGAAACTTTGTTTTCTCAGCGTATTTCGGCTCCTGATGCGTTTTCTGGCATCCCAAGTCAGGAATGAGTGCTTCCGTAGATGTAAAGTACGCCCAGGTCGTCGGATTTGGCGGATTCCGACCATTTTTTGGCCACGTACATGCACCCGCGCGGAAGTTGCTGGAGTAGCTCTTGGAAGCTCGATTTCTCTGAAATTGTGCTCTGTACTGATCTATGAAGTTTCAGAAAGGTTCTCGGCGGTCGTAAATGGCATCCAGGTGGTGCGCCGGCGAGCTTCGGCCGGCTCCGGCAGCTTGTATTTCCACCGGCGTGGACAACATGATCTCCAGGAGGTTTCTACGGCGAAGTTCTTGCATCGACGGTTAGAAATATGGTCTTCGGTGGCGGATAGTGGCGTGGTGGCGTGGTGATGGTGTGGACGTAGCTCATCAATGGTGAACTGCATGCTGGTGCGTGAATTAGTTGAAGAAGATGAAGACTTGCATGGAAAAAGACCATTCTGTCCTTATTTAAATGATTATGTTGGGCTGAATTATATGGACATTATTTGTGCTGGTATTTCTTGGCCCAACAGATCAAATAATGGGTTGAATATCTTTCCTACAAGCTAGCCTTGTAAATTGCCTAGTCCCAAACTTCAACCGATTCTCGCCGTTTTCGACTTTAAAATTAACTCGAACCTATTTCCTGTGAAAAACTCAAATTAAAACACCTCATCATAGCTTAATAAAATTAATTAGATACATAAGTAATTATATAATAATTAATTACATAATAAATAATTATATATTAAACTACGACGAAACGGACACGCAAATCACTATAAAATGCACGTAAAAATGGCGCATGTCAACTGTCTGCGCGTCACACGAGTCGTGTCACTAGCCACACGAGTCGTGTGACTTTCTTCGAATTTTTTCCCCGCTCCCAGACTCACACGACCAACCTACACGAGAGGTCACACGAGTCGTGTGAGCCCACACGACTCGTGTCATGGGCCACACGACTCGTGTGGTGAAGCCGTGCCAAAATTCTTCATGATCCCATTTTTCTCACCTCACACGACTCGTGTCACATACAACACGAGTCGTGTGACCCTGACCGCACCTTGTTTTTGCCGTTTTTCGTCTCAATTCCATCTTTAACGCTTTTTCGGGCATGTTTCCTACAAAACCAACGACAAATATACCTCTATCATAGATTAATAAATCAAACGAAATGGTGCGCAATTCCACAATAAACACGGTCAAACATCACACTATATCACTCATAATGCATGAAAATATGATGAACATCAATAACTAATGACATCGACGACCCCGCTTCTCCAATTGGGAAGTGCGACCTCATAACCATCATTCTCCCCCGGTTGAGAAGGATTTGCCCTCGAATCTAACCCGATCTCATCATCATCTGAGTTGTCACCGCGGAACGGCACGAGGTGCTTAACATTGAAGGCGTCAGAGGTGTGAATGTGAGAAGGTATGCGAAGCCGATACGCATTGGAATTGATCTTCTCCACGACCTCGACTGGACAGATCTTTCGGGCCGACAGCTTGTTATAGCCGTTGGCAGAAAAACGATGCTTGTTAAACACAACCCATAAAAAATTGCCCATCTCAAATTCCACATGCCGCCGTTGAGCATCCGCTCGCGGCTTGTTAACGGTTGTAGCCTCCTCCATATGGGCACGAGCGGTGTCGTGCGTCTTACACAAGTCCGCCATAAATTCTTCTGCTCGGCGGTCAGACAAATCCATGAAAGATACGACTAATAAATTAGCGGGCCCACGCGACTGAACCACCAGAAATAGAGACAACTTCGTGGCCGGACTCATGGACGATTTATGGGCAAACTCGGCTTGTCTAAGTCGTTGATCCCAACCCCGCAAGTTCTCAAAAGACCTATTGACGACTTCTGTCTGACCGTCAATATGCAGGTGATAACGCTACTGAATTCCAACCGCGTATTCCAAAAGAGGCTGAGAAACCATGTGTCACGTTTAGAAACAATGGACGACAGAAGACCATGCAAACGATAAATCTCACGGAAGAACAATTGTGCCACATGCACGTCATTAGTGGTCTGTCTACAGGGGATAAAATGGACCATCTTTGAAAAGCGATCGTTGACTACGAAGATGGATTCGTGAACTCGCTGCGTGTGCAGAAACCCCAGCACAAAGTCCATATTGATCGCACTCTACGGCTGCGAAGGGATCGACAAAGGGCGATAAAGCCTGCCGTTTTATGCCGCACCCTTGGACACTTGTAAGACCTGACAACGCTCGACAAAACACGACACATCACGTCGCAAAAAGGGCTAGAAGAATGAGCGTTTCACCAACTCAATGGACCGATAGTGACCCACGTGACCGGCGCCATGAAGATCCACCACCAACTTCAAGCAAAGACTACTGTCCGGAAGACACAACCGCACGCCTCGAAAAAGAAAGCCATCAGATAGGACATAGTCCTCGTAGGGACCAAACTCGAGGCGTGTAAAATTGGGCCTAAAAAAGAATTCATCACATAAATATTACGTCGTAAGTTCGCATATCTGTCAACACCAGAGAACGACGGCTTAAAGCGTCGGCCACTCGATTAGAAGCCCCCGAACGGTACTTCAAAATAAATGTGAATTGTTTCAAGTACGCCGTCCAGAAAGCATGGTGGTTTGAGATATTTTCCCGAGAAGCGATGTGGTGCAAAGCCTCGTGATCGGTGTACAGGACAAACTCCTGTAGGAAGAGGTAATGATGCCATGAGCGCACGACACGAAACACAACATAGAACTCTACATCATAAGTGTTGTAGCACAACCGAGGGCCCGACAGCTTCCCACTGAAAAAGCCGACGGGTTGGGGTTCCTGGCTCAAGACCGGCCTAATTTCGACCTTCGAGGCATCGCATGAGAGCTCGAAAGGGTGTGGAAAATCGGGCAGCGCTAAGACCGGGGCAGCCGTCAACTTCGCCTTGATAAGAGTAAAGGCGGCGGCAGCTTGAGAGTCCAAACAAAGGACTTGCCTGTAAGTCAGTTCGTAATAGGCGTCGTGATGGAGCTAAATGAGAGATAAACCGACAGTAGAAGGACGCGAGCCCATGGAAGCTACGTGCATCCATGAATGATGTCGGAGTAGGCCAATCACGAATTGCCACCAATTTGCTATCATCAACGCATATCCCATCTGTGGCAATGACAAAGCCCAAGAACAAGACATAATCCACTACGAAGAAGCATTTCTTCGATGCCGAAAAGATAGACTCGACGCACAAAATATGAAGAACTGAACTGTAGCGAGAGGGTACGAATGGGAAAGGAAGTGATGAAACTTTCAAGAAGATACTATTATTTCATAACATTCAACCCAATAAACACAAAGAGAAGAGGTTCTCTTAAATTGAACCCAAGATTCCTAACTTTTCTAACAAGTAAAAGATAATTAAATATCTTTCCTCAAGTACCAACTTGTTTAGTTTGTGAGCCGAGCTCGGCTCGGCTCGTTAAGGGCACGAGCCCGAGCTCAAGTTCGAGCTCGAACAACTTAAGCTATAGCTCTTTACAGCCTTTATGTATAGATGATAAAAGGTGAGTTTCTTATTTATTTAAATAAAATATTCAGAAGCAATCTTTTAATAGCGTTACAGTTGAAGATTATTAATCACGCATAAGATAAATACATGGTCTTCTCCTCAACTCCATCTCAATAATGCAATTGGCTACAAATTTTTATTTCTTTCAATTCTGATCAATCCCTTTCTGATATTTATTTTTATTTTGTCATCTATAGCCAATTCCCTTATTTCCCTTCTTGTTCCTCCTATTAACATCTTCCAACATTTATTACAAGAACAACAAGTAAATAAACAATTTCCAAAAGAAGTACTAACCCAGCAATGAAAACTGCTGCACCTTTGTTTTGCTGTTCCACCCATGGACAATGTCACTGCCAACCCATGCCACTGAAGAAGAGAAGGTTTTGCTGTTTTCGGCTTTTAGATTGAACATTTATACTTCTCGATCGACATGCCAAGCCAAAGCTGGAGGATTTCGGGCTGGCGACATTAGTACTCGTGTAACCGAGACATCGTGTGTACTACTTGACAAATGCTACTTATCGCCCGAATAACGGGCCCGTCTCACCCGAAAGTCGGACGTTTATAGCTTTGGAGTAGTTTTTGCTGGAAATCGTGAGTGGTCGGCCGGTGGTTGATTATTGATCGCCATCAATGCAGAGAACAATTTCCCGTCGAGAAGGTAGCTTTTCCGTTCCCTTTTTTCAATCAAGAAGTAACCAATAATCACAAATCACACCCTGGAATGTTAGCATAAGTACAAAATGATGCACAGGACAGCCATTTTTTCAGTCAGCAGCTGTTTAGTGGCATCTCAACTCAGAAAATGAACCAACTAAAAGAGAGACCAAAAACTGTTAAAATCTCATCAAAGATGAACCCAAGTACAAGTCTACAACCAAATGTGTCCCCATGTAAACAAAACGAAAATTGTTTCTGAAATTTGGGAAAAAAATATCCTTTTGCAGCTAGGTAAAAGTACAAAGTTTTACAAGAAGCTCACAACAAATTTACAATTGTAGAGAGAGCATTACTCACCCAAAAGCCTTTCTATCTTTCCTCTTCGATCTTTATACCAATAAAAAACTTATTTCACCTCCAAAAGAATAGAAAAAAAAACTCGAAAAACCCAAAACTCAAAACTATAGTACCAATCCATCATAATCCCTAACCAACTGCTCCAACATAGCCACTAGATCAGACATCGATGCCCTCTCGTTCAGATCCTCACTCAACGCAAGTTCAGCTATCTCCGCAAGTTTCAACAAAGGCTCGACATTTCTAGGCAGAGGCACATACCTATCGATTATAGCCGCCGCCTTCCCTTGCCTAATCCGAGGCAATGCCCACTCGACTATATCCGGTGGCACACATTCCGCATCGTAAGCCTTCCTCCCACTCAATATCTCAAGAATCACTACCCCAAACCCATAAACATCAGCCCAAACATCCGGCCCAATCCCATCCTCCCTCTCGCTCGGGCCCAGGAGCCCAAAATCCGAGATTCGTGCCCCCCAGTCCGCATCCAGCAGTATCTTCGAGCTCCGCACGTCTCGGTGCACGATGGGGGGCACGACCCCCGTGTGAAGGTACTCGAGCCCCCTCGCCGCCTGCAGAGCGATCCTCAGCCTGCGGGCCCAGCTTAAGCCCGATAGGCCCCCGTGCAGGTGATCGTGGAGGGACCCGTGTGGCATGAGCTCGTACACTAAAAGACGTTCGCCCATCTCCGAGCAGTAGCCGAGGAGGTTCACGATATTCGCGTGCCGGAGGCCACAGAGGATCTCGAGCTCAGCCTCGAATGCACGACCGTTCGTGTGGATGATTGTGGCAGCGTTGGCCCGTTTAACCGCCACGGACCGCCCGTCCGGTAACAGGGCACGGTATACGAACCCATAGCTCCCCCGCCCGAGCTCGTTGAACTCCTTGAACCCGTTTGTCGAGTCCTTCAGCTCCGAGAGACGGAAAATTTGGGCCGCGCCTGGGCACGGGGCGACTGATGCTGGCGGCGGGTGCTGGTCTGGGCCTGTATCGGACCCGGTCAAGGGCCCGTGGGCTTTTTTAGTATGGGACAGAAGGCGGCAAGCGAGAAGAATCAGCAGGAGTCCGGAGAAGATCGATGATCCTATTATGAGTAAAAACGTGCGCAGCCGATTCCAATTCTGTTTTTTTCGAGTTTCGCGTAAAGAATCGAGCTTGCAGACATCCCAACACGAGCTGTTTTGACATAGAGAGCATGGAGTGCAGACTCTGTCGGCATCGGAAGTACACGAGCTCGAGGCGAAAAAGCCCTCGGAACAGTTAAGCCCACAAGGGGAACAAATCTTGAGATCTTTTCGAACGCATAGGCTCGTAAGGTCCGGCTCGTTTAGAAGGCTTGCATTGAAGGCAAACATTCCCTCATTGCAGGTCCGGGCAGTGCATAGGCCCGGGCTGCACAGCTGCAAGGGGGGATCATAATCCGCCGGGGAACTCAAATTGGTGAACCAGCAGTCGAGCACGAGATCGCCTTCCCTGATGCCGCACGTGAGGAAATCGGACGAGGCAATCGCGAGAAAGCCTGAACCTTTCGGGATCAACGAGGCATTGAACTGGCCCCAGCACTCTATCCCGTGATTATCCTCCCTAATCCCGCAAAAATGGCGTAATCCGGCGGATAAGGACACAAATCTGACCCCAGTCGGCAGGATATAATACGAATCGCTGTTTCCCCAGCATTTGATCTCGCCGGTTGTTTGACATATGCCGCAAAGAGAGTTCGAACTGGAAGCTAAGGCCAAGAAATTGTCCGGCACCGTTGAAATCCCGAGGCTGCCGGAGTTTGGGCCCCAGCAGGTGAGCCCTCCGTCGCGAATAACCCCACAGGTGAAACCGTTGCCGGAGACGAGCTTCCTGAATACGAGTATGCTCGCATTCTGGTCATAAAACCGGGAGCTCTGCCCCGAGGTTGTGAGACTGTTGTTAGGGCCTTTGACGATGTCCCAACAATCGACGCTGCCGGAATCAATGTCGGAGTAGTAAGATCCGCGGACGGCGCAGACGTGGTCCTTCCCGGCGGCTATGTGGGAGTAGGCGTTGGGCTGGAAAACGGAGGGGACGAGATCGGGGATTCTGGACAGCCCAGCGGAGTCCCAGCAGACAGCCTGCGAGGTGTTCGACAGAATGCCGCAGAGGAAACCGTCGCCTCCGGAGAGGGCGGCCATGGAGGGGAGAACGGTGGAGTAGCGGAGGGAGGCCGCGGCGAAGGTGGAGGTGTTGTC